AAACCTAGAAACAATTCATTTGACCATAGCTGTGTATAGACACGTTGAAATATAGTAAAATAAACATAGAAACGAGGACTGCAGATCAGTGAATATTGTTTGGTGAAATAAGATACATTAGTTCAGGACAATGTTCTTCACACATAATGACACATAGAAAAAAAAAATTAACTTTAATTATATTGATAAATCAGCTCACCGCTTTTGCAGATAATTGCTTTGTGATCTCAGGGAAACAAAAAGAAAGTCATATTTACATTTTTTTCATTAGCATGTTTATGAGCGGAAATTAAATTCCGACTCTGTTCAGTTTACCAATATTTGTTCCAGTGAGCTTTGTGATGTCCTTTCATTCCATAGTTTTAAATGATGAACTTCCTGTTCACCCTTGTGAGAAGCAATAAATAAATACATACATACATTAACATTGTCCCGGTTTCTCCCAAGACTCTATTAAGTGATAAAGCTTTTTCCATAACTCAGTTATTGTGTTGTATCCGTCTGTGGTATTATCTAAACCTTTCACTCTGTAGCTGATTTTATTTTCTTCCTTGAAATAAAAATTGAAGGCTTTTAGGGAGACATTGTGCAGCGTATAAACTGAAGGAGCTCCTTGAGACACTGGAGAGCTTCAACATATGCTTTGGGGTATGAGGGGGCAGATAATGAAGTTACAACTTCTTAATAGAAGCTCCAGTGGAAGCTCCAATACTTTGCTCAGTTTCTTTGTCTGCCTCCCTGAGACACTTCCACTACTCCCGTAGACTTTGCAAAAGATTGACAGCAGAGATGAAGCTATTTATATCCATCTGTTAACAGACATCGTCTTGTCGTAAATTTAATAGTGTGTTGTTTCCCTACCATTTACTTGCATGAATTGTCTTTGATTTCATACATCACAGCCAAACTTTATCTCTCCCCAGATAACTCAATCAGCGTTATTGCCAAGCACGATTCCTTTCGGCGACAGAAACAGGATACGTACCTCCTTCCCATCGTCGTGACTGACGACGGCGAGCCTCCAATGAGCAGCACGAACACTTTAACTATCCGGGTGTGCGGCTGCAGCAGGGAAGGCATTGTGCAGTCGTGTAACGTCGAAGCTTTTGTTCTTCCCATTGGTCTCAGCATGGGAGCTCTGATTGCTATTCTAGCTTGTATAATTCTACTTCTCGGTAGGTCATTTCAGCTGCCTCTTTTAGTCCTTACTAATTTTTAAATTTAAAATCCACTTTGTGATTTGCATGTAAAATTTGAGTAGAAAAGGCACTTAGTAAAAGAATACAAAATCAAACCCTCTGAGCTGCGCAAGGCAAAGGTAGAGCTCACTAAGTGGATGTTCTTGTGCCTTTCAGTTATCATGGTCTTGTTTGTGACATTGAGGAGACACAAGAACGAGCCTCTAATCATCAAAGACGACGAGGACGTGAGGGAGAACATCATCCGTTACGATGACGAGGGAGGCGGGGAGGAGGATACGGAGGCCTTTGACATCGCCACCCTGCAGAACCCAGATGGTATCAATGGCTATCTGCCCAGGAAGGACATCAAGCCTGACCTGCAGTTCATGCCCAGACAGGGTCAGCACTCGGGTCCGAACGGAGTAGACGTGGATGAATTCATCAACGTACGGCTTCACGAGGCAGACAACGACCCCACGGCTCCACCGTACGACTCCATCCAAATCTACGGCTATGAGGGCAGGGGCTCCATCGCGGGCTCCCTGAGTTCCCTCGAAACGGCCTCCTCAGACTCAGACCAGAATTATGACTACCTTAGAGAGTGGGGGCCACGCTTCAGAAGACTGGGCGAGCTCTATTCTGTGGGCGAGAGCGACAAAGAGACTTGACCTCCAAGCGCCACGGACCTTTTGCTTTCGTCCACATTACTTGTGTATTATGCTACGGGGATGTTAGACACTGCTGTTTAAAAGGGGGAGTGGGCGCCTTTTTTAAAAACTTCTTAGAGAGACCTAATAACATTAGTCATCTACCACATCAGAGTGCATCGTAACGTCAGAACTTACCAGTGTCTATAGTAGGAGGTCAATGATTTTTGTGGAGTGTGAGTTTAGATTAACGTCATTGAGTGTCTAGCAGTATTTTGGGTATTTGTTGTTCACTGTGACCACCGGAGGCATCAGAACCTTGATTATTGGTAGTCGCTTGAAAAGACTGGATGGAAATAGAACTTTTGGACACCTTGCGGCAGGAGAAAAAGGACTGGACTGCAGAGGCCTCAAAATGACACCGCTCCCCAGCGACAACAGATCTCTTGCCGTCATTCAGATAAAGGAACATTAAAAAAAGTAGGTAAACTAAATAGCAATATATTGTCAACATTACTTATGAATGTATGTGTGGTTTAACAAATACAAGCGCAATGAAAGTACATCACACCGGCTTTAGGATCTGCCTGCTGAGATAACATTTGCCCCTTTGATACTACGTGGACAGATTTCTTGAGTAAACTGGCAAAGCCTATAGGCTTGCTTTATACAACCCTTTGTATCCATATGCTTTAAGTGTGGTTCACACTCTAAGATGATTAGACTCTGTAAGACTGCGTTGAGGACAACAAGATAATTGTGGAAACAATGAGGCCTTCGTTTTACAAAAGCAAGTATTAAATACAGTCGTATTCCAATGTTTTTTTTGGAACATTGATGGTGTTTCTTCATTATTGTGTATGTTTTATATAAATATATAAATATTAATCGCCAGTCATCTGTTTTGTGCTGCAGGTTTGAGTATATTTATACTTTTCATATTTTTATTTATTTATTTCAGCCAAATGGTTATTTTTATTAACTTTTTAATTTAAAGTTTCAAGCTTTTCCTCTTAAGCGGTTTCATTCTGCTGCATCACTGTTCTTTGGTTTTTTTAAAGCTGAACTGAATTTCTGTATTGAAATTCACATAATGATATTTGTTAACTACACTGTACTGTGAAATCCACAGAGAATTTGTTCTTGACCCAGAAAGATAAGTTAATACAGTGATATCAGTGATCATTCTAAGCACAATAGCTGAGAACATCTAGTTCATCTTTATATTTGACCCCTGCCATTTCTGAAAATTAAAAATCAGAATCCACGGAGTAAAAAAATACAGAAACAGACATGCGTTATGTGCTGCACTGTATGATATTAGAGCAAAAAGAAAAAAAGATGTACATAGAGTCATTGCAGATTCTCTTAGCTTTTCTTTGAAGTGATAGGTTTTGTTTCTGCACGTTAGCTATTGCACATGGGGATCTGGCTCTGGAGCTATGTGCATACTCTGTTTGTATCGATGCGATACATGGCAATTCTCTTGGACGGACAGTATATATAAAATAGTATTTCATGCAAATCATATTTTCTACTGTGCTTTAATGCTCATACACTTGTATGTTAAATTAGCTATCTCTGTATTGTAATCTAAGATATCCATGTATTGTTTCCTACTTTGTGAAATATATTTTTATAAATACTTGTGGGTGTAACTTTTCTTAAGCCAATCATGCCACAGGTCCTGATCCCTGTACTTGAGATCCCTTTCTTTCCGTTTTTTTTGTTTTTTTGTTTTTATGAAAATATTTTTCCCATTTGGGGTTATCAGTTAATCTATCTTTTTTTTTTTTTTTGACGGACAAAAAAAAAAAAAAAAA